GGGGGGAAGAGAGCCCCCGGGCGCAGTGGGGCCAGGCGCGCTGGCGGTTGAGAAAGGACGAAGGAGCCCGGCAGACGCACTCTTCAGGGTGGCGCCCACAAGACCGGTGTAGATCATGAAGGAGGTCAGCCCACCGAGGGTGATGCTGCCAGCCAGGACCTCCTGCGAGCCGAACCACAGGGCCGACACAATGCCCATGTTGGCCAGCCAGCCGAGCTATGGGCGGGCGGACGGGCGGGCGGGCGGGCGGGAAGGAATGTCAGGGGCCGAAAGTCACAAGGGCCAGGGTGGACACGGGGGACGACGGCGGCACGCACCGAGCTGTAGAAGACACCGCGAATGCGGGACACCCGGCGACCGATGTCATACACCGAGCCGATCAGGTTGCGGTAGGTGCCCACCTCGCGGGCAACCTGGGCATTGGCCTGGACAATGCTCGCCGCGGCCAGGCGCTCGTCGGCGAAGGAGCTGGCCCGGGCCAGGGCCGCCTGGCGGAGGGTCGAGTTGCGCTTGGTGTAGCTGCCGAAGAAGATGGCGAAAAGGGCCACCGGCGGGACAATGAAGGCCAGCTTGGCGGTCAGGATGGGCGAGGTGTACAGCATCATGGTCATGCCGACGGAGATCTGCCCCAGGGCGCGAGTGGTGTCATTGACATTGGTGGTGAGGGTCTCGCCGACAACGTCCACATCGGCCGACAGCCGGGTGGCCACGTCCGACGAGCGGGTACTATTGAGGAAGTCGCTCTCCTGCAGTGGGTCATGTGTGTATGTGTGTGTGTGTGTGTGTGTGCATGCAGGGGGGGGGGGATGGATAGGGGAAGGGTGTGCATGCGCGCGTGTGCATCGGCAAGAGGAGGGGTGAGTGGATGGGGAATAAGCCAAGCACGGGAGGAGCCAAAGGGAAGACCCGCCAGCCGGGGAGGCCGTACCTGCTGCAGCGTTGAGGCAAAGACATCCCCACGCAGGCGGCGATCAACGCTCTCCCGCAAGTAGCCGAGGGTGATGATGCGGACGAGGCCGACCGCGGCACCGACGGTGAACACCCCACCGAGGGAGGTCAGGTACTGGAGAATGTCCGCACTGGAGGAGGTGCTCAGCATGTCCACCACCTGGCCCGTGGAGTAGGGGATGACAGACTGGATGAGCGAAGAGCCAAGCAGGCAGGGAACGAGAACTGCCCGGGGGTGGGGAGGTGATGATGATGATGATGATTTTGTGGTGTGTGTGCGTGCGTGCGTGCGTGCGTGTGTGTGTGCGTGTGCGTGTGTATGGGGGTGGGTAAGTGGGCAGGCGGGCGAGGGGAGGAAGGGGCAGCCGCATCGAGCAAAGGGGGCGCCCGAGGGCCAGGACGCACTTGCCAACTTGACCTTCTCGGTGGACAGCAGCGAGAAGAGACGCTTCATGTCGGACCGCGAGGCGCGGGCCTCCTTGGTGGTCTTCGGGGCGGGGGCCGGGTCGGCGGGGGCCGGGTTGGCGGTGGTGGCGTAGGCGCGAATCGAGTCGGCCGGCAGCGAGGGAGCGGCGGCGGTCATGGCAAGGAGGGGCCGGGGGAGGGGGGCCAAGGCAAGCGGGGACCGGATAGGGCGAGAGGGGGAGGCGGCAGCGGCGGGCCGGGCTTCGCGACGGTGCGCGAGGAGAGAGAGGCCGGCGAGGGGGTTCTTCGGGGCCAGGGAGCGGGGGGCGGCGGGGCCGGCAGCGGTGGCGGCAGCGGCGACGAAGGAGGAGGAGGAGGAGGAGGGGTGGCGGACGAGATGGGGGGAGGCAAGAAGGTGGGCGAGTCGTGCGCGGGCGGCCAGCATGCCGGAGGCGAGAGCGGTGTCGGTGTGGGGG